TTCTTGCCTCTTAATCTTTCCTTGACAAATAGTTTACATTAAAACTCCTGTTTACTTGAGATAAAATAGATTCAGTTATAGTTCTACGTAGATTATTATTATTATTTCTTAATCACGTGTTTGAGATTGGGATGGTGGAGGTGGGCTAGCCTCCTCCCCCACTATACGGTGCATTTACACGCACACATCATGATTAAATTCTATATTTGGTTACGTTTATCGGGTTTCGATGTAGGAAGGATGATGTAGATGATATAAAACATCATTAAATGCATTGTCATCGGACCTAGATACGTCCTCAAAGTTTCAACCTTGTGTTTTTAATTAGAAGGGGATGAAATTTGAGTTGCAAGAGGCAAGTTAAGCGTTTAAAAATCTTATTAATTGTCTAATTAAATTATCTCATTTAAAAGTGATTTTTTAAAGCAATTCGAATACATTTTGAGGAGATAAAATGTTATTTCAGCGTATCGATCGGAGGGATAGAAAAACTGCTTTTAACGTGTCACCATCTGTTGGCGATAACGGGCATTATTTTTAAAAATTTAAGTTTATATTTTTGTGTAGACACAATATTACTATTTAATTAAGTCGATTGTTAATTTAAAACTTAAAGAAAAATACATAAGAAAGAATGGATGTCTTAAACTGTTTTAAGGTTGTCAAAAATTAATTTGTGTAGATACTATAATAAATCGTGTATCGATAGAGTATAACAAATGTTAGGAATTATTAAACGAATATCAAATGTTTAAAATATTATTTAGAAAGTTATTCGATATTTACAAATACAGATAAGAGTAATAGTTTGTTATTTTTAATGACGAATCAGGAGGATAAAGGGAAAGTGATTTTATACAATGATTTTTTGGCACAACACTACAGGCTCTGTTGTTAGAATAAGAAATCTCTCCAAATATATATTTTGAACTTTTCTAGCTTTAAAAACTATTCTTTATATTCCATTTAATGACGAATGGCTCATTTCCATATCGTGGAACAGACATTAACTTACTTTTTTTCATATTTAATATGGAAAAAAATGACGAGAGAAAGTTAGAAAGAGGAGGAAAAAAAAAATATTGTTCCTAATGGGTTTCGAAGACTCATTCCTGCATAATGGAGGCATTTCTTTCTATATGTGCTATTGCCAGATGTTGCCTGTTTATTTGTAGATTCGGCTACACTGCAGAGCATATTATTATTATTAGTAAATGTATTTAAAAAATGACATTATTTCATAATTATCTTCTTTAAAAGTAAGAATTTACTATTATTATTATTTACATTATTTAATTTGGTTGCTATTATACAATGCAAATATTCTTTCTGTAAGGAATTCTGTATAGAAGCAGTTTCTATTGTTTTTCTATGACAAATAATTCTCTAGAAAATCTTATACAGAATTAATTTTATTCCCACGAAGTTTTTCGATTTAAGTAGTCAACACGATTACTCGAAGCGCATGAAAGATTCAGAGAAAAAAAGAAAATTGGTGCTTGTTGGGCGCTTTGTTTAATTTAAAGTCCAACCCTTACACAAAAGGGCGCCTGTAATCTTAGAACTGTTGGTTAATTAATCGTAATTTATACACAGAAACTTTTTCTTCGTTACTAAGAAGTTAGGATGGTTCGTTTCCAAGAGAATGAATGTACAAAGAGATTAGTTAGGAACCATCGCGCCCATATTAAAGGTAAAAGATACTTAACTGATTAGTGGTGCCATCTGTAGTCGCCAGTAGAAACTAGAATTTTTTTTCTTTCTTTTTTTTTAATTTTATTATTAAAAGTTGTTTAATCTCTTATTTAAATATTATACGTCGTTGAGATTTAATTTAAAACGGTATAAAAATAATTAAAAAATATAGATATGTATATTCGAATTTGTAGTAATGGTCGACGTGTGCTGCCATCTGGTGTTGTCGGTAGTATAATTTTTATCTTTCTGTTCACGTGTATTACTCGTCACGTTCTACTTCCGTGTACATAAATTTGCTTTATAAATGGCTTTTCGTCACTTTAAACATTCCATATAAATTATGGTCGTACGAGAAAATACACTGGTGTCGTTTTTATGGCCAAACTGGGAAAGTTTGTCCAGTTGAAATTAAACTCGGACAGAAACGGAATTTAATACGAAGTCTTTGCGAGGGAGGAAAGAGAATACAGCGGTTTTAATTAAGCAGATATGGAGTGATTTAAACAAGCGGGATAGATTCGAACAAAAATCCCAGCCCTCGGGCAACCGCAGGACGAGTATTAGCGATACATCTTCTAATTTTGTCTCGTTTCGATGCTTCCGTTCATCCATCCGAACAGTCAGAATCTCGTAGCGTTTTCATCCTCTTAACTCCGTTAACTCGAACTCCTCCAGCGTAACGTCACTCGTCTAAACATAAAAAAAACATAACCGACACAGGAAGTAGCAGGTGCTAAAGCCTAGGAGGACGGCGGGATAGAAATTAATTCCCTCCCCTCGCCCGAAGCAAAGCCGCCGCACTCCGGGGAGCCCGGGGAACAGAAGTGGATGACTCACGCCACTAACCCAGTCGGGAGAGTTCATTTCGTATGGCTCCCCCTCTTCTCTCTCTTTCTCTTAGGGGGTGGGGAGGATTTCGTGACACGATATCCACGTTACGATTGTTGGCCCGCTGATAGAGAGCCAGGCGGGGAAGACGTGGGGGAGAGGTGTGTAGACTCGACACTCCTCCGCGTATTAATTTCCTACCGGATGATTAGAGGGCGAAGTGGCTCCCGAAATTCGCTTTATCCTTCGAACGACCGAGTGGTGCGAAGAAGATCGCTCTTCGCTCGTACTCCGGTTTAAAAATGAAGTCATATACGGCGGCGGATTAACGATAAAGAATGACGTAGGAGTAATGACGTGTGGTAGAGACCGACCCGACCGTGTTTGTAAACATGTAATATTATAACCGCAATCAACTATTTACCGACATCAATCGTCGTGTTCGCTCAATATTCAGTCTGGATATTGGCACCGTGCCAGGCTTATGGGCACTGGATACATGCACGCGCTTCCAAAAGGCTATTAAAGAGAGGAAGCTAATCTCCAGTAACGAATATTACTAATAGTTTTTTTTTTTTTTCTTTTCTTTTCCTTCGATCCCTTTCCCTCCTTTTGTTGACTTAGAGGTCTTTACACGTCTGGGATCGTTATCTGGCTGGTGCAATTAGGGTGGCGGAGAGGTCGGTGTTTACTTTGACGTCATCGAGAGCGATTGAATTGATTGACAAGAGCGCCTTTCCTTCTGTTTTATATTATAAGGTCGGGGCTATAGGTTTTTGTACCGGCTTTTGCCATTGGATGTGGATATATGTCACACGACTGAATACAATGAAGGCAGACATCCGTAACTGCATGGCGATAGCCGAGCCTTACAGCTGTTGTCCCTCGTCTCGTATCGATCTACTACGGTTGATATAAAATAGCTTCTTTCCTTCGTGTTTCGTCAATTTGCGGTCCCGCTTTTTTCTTTTCTTTTTATCAATATCCCTGTCTTGCATAGTAGCAACTTGGCCGGAAAAGTGGATCAAATCGCCGTAAAAGTATCGCTTTCCAAATTCGACTTTGGATGCAGTTGGCCACTTAACCTTTCATATAAAATGGTGGAAACTATTTCATTTTCGGATCTCGAGTGCCTTGGCTTCGAAGCTTGAACGCTTATCTTGGTCTCTTCTGATCATTTTTTTTTTCTTCTTCTTCTTTTGTATAGCGGATGTGTTTCGTTCGAGTTTTCCTTCCTCGATTAGCAACTCGGGTATGGGAAGTGATGCTAATTTGCACATCTCGCGTTAAACTTGCAACGGATTAGAATGGAAATTGGGTTTTAATTAGTTGTAATTTAATTAAAAGTCGTTTAGCGTTGACTCTTCTCATTCGTTTTCGCGCAAATTCATCCCGCTCGGAGACACACTGATATGGAAATTACCATCCGTACTGGTTGGTATATGTGGCACTCGTTACCATGGAGATATGATGCTGGATGGTAAAGATAACACCGGCAGTCATCAATTCTTCTTTTCCATATCACTTTTCATCGTTGTTGGTAAATTGTCTCTGCTCTTGTTGCTTCCGTTCGGCTAAGGATGGAGCCAAATATTGTAGAGAAACGGATTCGGTCCCGCATTTAAGCGGCCTTCAGATCTGCAAAAGTAGATAAAGAGACAAAATCCGATTAATCTGTTCGTTTCGGAGAAGGGGGAGAAAAAAAACAGGAAAAGTTTCTTTTCCTAAGCCATTTGTCTCCGTCTTCCCCAATGGGAAATAAACCCATCTCCAAGGATTCCATCTTTTCCTCTTACTGTACTTCCTTACTCGGCTTTTCAGTCCGGTTAGTGGGCTGGGTAATACGTTTCCGTTCGCTATTCCCGATAAGAGCAGCCACTTAGAGGAAGAGTATCGTCATTTGGTTCCTTCCGACTTCCGTTTCACGAAACCTTCGCGTGAGAGATCCTCTCACGCACTCGCAATAATTCGAAAGCGAACGGAGTTAGTTTAACCACTCCCGCTTCTTGCATCCAAATGATATTTTAAAATAGAGAAACAATATTTTTTAAAGCCAGACTTGGCAAATGATAGGTGGTTACGACCGTGTGTCAACAGTTCAAGTTAAACACGAGATCACTTATCGGCGACGGCACCATTTATTCCTCTGTCAACTAACATGTCAACTTAATGTCCAGTTGACTGGACGCGTTGGGATGATCTGTCACCAGGCGATGGGTGGTTCGATCGATAGCTGTTTCTGGACACGGTTATCGCACATTCTGATTGAGGACATCTGTTTCTCGACGTTACTAAAATATTAATAAGTGATAACGGGAGCGGTTGGTTGGTGAAGAAGTATTTGTAAATCGTTTCCGCAACCGAAAGATCATTAGGAAGATTATCGCTCTCTTCCTCTTGATCCTCGTTGGTAATAAATGGTGAAGGATCTTATTGAGATCGAGTAATTGCACAAATTTTATTGTCTTTTTCAGTTGGCGGATTTGGAGCAGAGGAAGGAAGATGCGGAAAAAAGAGCAGACGAAGCCGAAAGGAGGGTAAGCATCTTTACTATTCTGTTTTACTGTATAATTTCTTCCCTCCCGAGAAGTCTTTTTTTTTTTTCATCCTTCGTCGGGATTATTCCCTGGAAAACTTGAAACTTTCGAATATCGGATCGAAATCGGGTCGAGTTCGGTAAAGCGTGAAGAAATTCCCTCGCTCACCTACCAAAAAACAGTAGCTTTAAGCTTGGTTTCACGGAGATTATGCTATGAAATTCGTTCTTTATGACTGGCTTTTTATCAGAAAATACTTTAATAACGCCTTTTCTTAATATTTACCTTTTAATAACTTAAAGTTTATGGTAGTGAGACACTTTATTATTAACGCAGAATTCGCCTCGACCAGCTTGTTAAAAAAACAAAAAGAGAAGTGGACCGAGCGACGATTTCCAGATATAAATATGATAAAATCACATATTTATGACAAGTCGCGTGAAGCCAGATCGTTCTTTTCTAGCTTTTAATTACTCCTCCCTAAAATTAATATGAAATTAGATAATACAATTTTATGACGCTTCTAGACCGTTAATTTTTGCAAAGTATAATTAAAACGCTAGGTAGATCGTCTGCGAAGAGGAGGAGGAGGGAAAAAAAAAGAGATAGAAAACGAAGCTTGGCCGTGGGAAAAATACGATTTGGTTTAGAGCGTGCACCGTACTTGCGCTCAGATTGACGATCACTTATAATTAGCAGCAATCCGGATAGAATCGGGAGGGTTTTTATGGAAAAGAAAAGCAGACATCACCATCTTTTCGATACTTTAGATGAGGATGGTGACCTCGTGATGGATGCCAGGGCGGTAATCGTCCGGCCGGTGACGTTTATGAAGGCGTGCCACCGATCCATCTCGTCGCCCTCCTCCTCGCAGAGAGGCGCATTTCTCTCACTTCTCTTCGGAAGCGGGACTAATTCTTCGTCCCTCTGTTGCCGTCCACTTTCATCTCGTCCATTTATCTTCCTTAGCATCCTCTCACGGATCACACGCGTGACGTGGAAAGAATCGTGACGAGACTAGCGACAGTTCCTTTCCTTAGATTCAGAACTGGACGAAAAGTAACGTGATTCGGATCCTCTCGATCTCCCGTCGAGTTTCAACACTCGGATAAAATTAGAACGAACGTAGCATAATACAACCGAAAAAGATAATGTCTTCTGTTATAAAGATGTACGCGATTTTCTCGTAAATTGCTTCATCAAGGCTTAAAACGACATTTCACGCCCGCTAGACGTTTCGCCATAAATGAGTTTCAAGGTTGGATGCTGTGAGCTTGTCGTTTGGTCTGGGCCATTTAATCGCTCGCTTCTGTTCTGCGTCGCGCTTTGATGCTCCTCTGACGAATATTCTACTTTCGTGACAAAAACACGCTCTTAAACCATCAAACACCGAAATGCCGAGCCGCGGTTTGTAGACCAGTAGACTATATAAAGGGTTTATGCTTGGCATTGAACGGGAGGAGTAAAGAGGAGGAGGAAAAAAAATAAAAATAAAAAACATCAAAGTTTTATCGCGATGCCCTTTTTAAATTTCTCTTGGATGGGTTTGGAAAAACATCTTCTCCATTCGCAAACAGCAAGTTTGACGTTTCAAAAGATGTCGAAGCCATTAGAGTTAACTGAACCACGGGTAAAGGATTCCATATCTGATGACTTTTTCCACATTGCAAATCTCTCTCCATCCGGCAAACGATCGCGCCACTGGCTCGAGTGTCTATTGATATAAACGACCATTAGCGGCTCAGCCCTCCAGCTCCGTTTTGACCTCCCACACCGTTACCCTAGCAACCCTTTATCGTTTGCTACATTCATTGTCGTCGCATTGGGTCGTTTCTCGTCACCCTTTCAAGGCCATCGCCCGAAAAATATTTTTATTCATTTTTTTAGACTTTTCCATCTAAATGTTTGATAGAAAGCGATCGTATCGATTAACCAAAACTTGGTTATTTTCGACTCCCTTAAACTGATAAATGATGCCTCATTTTCACGCGCTTTGTTATCGGCTTTTTCGAGCGAAATATTTTTTCCTCCATCCATCTGGGAAAGCATCCAACCGTGTACAAAAGAAACGAACTGTCTAGTGTACTGCGAATTCTAGTTAGTTACAGGCAACACATCTTACCCGGGTTGCTCCGGTTCCGCATCCGAGCGGAGTAACCTCATCCGACTCTGGTATCCATCACGCGCTTCGTAACGCCATTCCTTTGGCTGTTCGTCATCAAAATCGCATCAGTTTACACTGTTTCTCTTTCCCGTCGCAACATTAAACTTCCATCACACTCCGCACCCCGGAAGCTGTCAAAATGGTAATTGGAGATTTAGAAAGATGGTAAAAGACGGCCTCTACCATTAAATCCTTCCACCTGGATTTCTTTTTTTCTCCAGTTAGGCTGTAAATACTCACTTTAGGCCTGTAGGCCACAAAGGATTTAATTCTATTTTTTTTATTCCTTAATCAATTGTGGTGCATATTTTTGTAAATATTTTCAGTTAAACAGGAATTTATTATATTATTTACATTCTTAAAGACTTAAATTGACTCATAAGTTATTGAGGTTCGTGTCTTTAACACCGTTCGTTTAATGTTTTACGAAACTAGAAAAATATCGAGACGTCATTAATAATAGATTTAACATTACTTTACTCCATTATTTACAATAGGACTAATATCAAGAGCAATAGGAACCTCACATTTTATTTTTATCACACGGTTTTTTCCCCGTATTCTGTTAGCTCCGATTCCTTCAGGAAGTCGAAGATCGTTCGAAAATTAATGCTGATTTAGGGAAGGAAAAATTGAATTTGAGAAAAATCAATCCTCTCGCTCCTCGTCGAGTCCAAGTTGACAGTTTGGTGATTGATTTACACCTCCATTCCCCTTTATGGAAATGTATATATAGGCATATATATATATGTATATAAAGTACCCAGAACATTATTAGATGATGTCAGATTTAGATTTATCATCTCTACCTTTCTTTCTCCCTTGTTCGTCTCTATTGTTTAGATTGATGCTACCATAGTAATAAATATAAGCATAACTCGATTGAAAAGCATCTAACGGATGGATAATTTATATAAAACACGAGGTAAATCCATCAGAATTGTCCTCAAATAAGGTGTTGTCTTGATAATTAATTAATTATCCTTTAATATTTATCGCGAATGATGTTTTCTATTCCATTCGAAGAGTGAATCTAATTTGACTTCGGGTATATTTCGATACCGGATCAAAATTTCTCTAGTTTGAGAAGGGATTTTAGGCACATTTCCAATTGCAAAAAATCTGGTTTGTATCAAAAGAGTGCCAAATCGGGATAGAAAAAGAATATAAATATGTTAGACATCGTTTGATTCTATCTACTACTTTCTGGATGGTGAAGCATATTGTAATGTTTTTTTTTAAATTTTCTATGGAGTTTTACAGTGCCAGAGAGAGAGAGAGAATGATCCATATATTGTTACGTGTTTATAGCCAAAGTGGATAGGGATGGATTTCTTTTTCTGAACGAAGGTTTTTAAAAAAAATTAAAAGCTCTTTCTAAGAACGTTGGGCAATTCTTTGGGAATTTATCTTCTACAGTATTGTTGTTTTTTTTTTGTCGTAGAAGAGGAAGAAATGGCATTTTTCCAGCCCTATCCAATTATTCATAAAGATGATAAAATTTGTGGTTTGCGTAATGAGAACGTGGCGATTAAGTAATCGCTCCTATCAATCGTGATTAAAGAGAAGAGTGTCTCGCATACACGTGAAGTATTACAGGTAATTTAACTCTCTGTAATCCACTCCTTCTCTTATTAATTATCAAAATCGCTTTGCCTGTTATCGATAAATTAAATTCTGTTCGAATTTACCTTCTCGATTTCTCCTTCGTTCCACACAGTACACACACAGAGAGAAAGAGAGAGGTTAATCTGCTTCAAGTGGCACCAAAGAGGAAAATTTGTCAACTGGGTGCTAAAAGAATTTTCTATTTAAAAGTATTGTGAAAGTATTTTTCGTATTAAAATAAAATTGGAAGTTTAGAAGAAGAAGAAGAAGAAGAAGAAGATAATTTCACTTATCCTCTTCATTTAATCTATTGATTTTTACAAATAATAATTCGAATTTTACTTTGTTTATTTTATATTTTAATATATTTTGTTTCTATTTATATTTATTTGCAAAATATTACGAACAAAATTCAGTATATGCCCTGTGTATGTGTGTGTGTGTGTAATTTGATTTCATTTATAAGATAACGTATTTTTCAATAAGTTCTGTATCCAAAAATAGACGTTATCGTTACGAAAATCGATTTTGTAAAAATTAACGCATTAATAATTGCTGGTAAATGTTCAAAGAGAAGGTTTTTTTTAAGGTTATTCCTAAGTAAGGTGTTTTAGTGGAAGAATAAAATGAATAATAAAGACATTAGTTAGAGAATTCAAGCTGCAGTGCCATTTCTCTGGTTCTTATTACTAGAAGTAAAAAGGAAGTGTATAGTAATCGACTTTCAAATCATTTCTGCCTTTATTGCCAAAGGTTTCTTCTCTCTCTACAACTTTGTTTTAATACAATTCGAATACATATTTAAAGTGGCAATATGCATAACGCTACCAAATATCTAGCATTTTAACGTCTCTCCTCCTCTTTCTCTTCTCTTCTCTGTGATCGTACTCGGTAACCTTGTCTTGTTTCTAAATTTACGTTTGATTTATAGCAAAATTTCACTTTTATACACGTATATTCTTGCTTATTTTCTATTTTTTTTTCCTACTATTTGACAGTTACAGAAAGCGAAATTTCAAAAAAGAAAGAGGAAAAAATGCCATTCAGCATCCATCAATCTTTTTTTCATCTTTTTCTTGATGGAAAAACATCAATATGTATTGTTGATGGAGCCATAATATTTTTGTAATAATAAAATTCTTCGTGTAATACTACTACGTAATTTCAAATTTAATGCATTTATTTTAGGTTCTACATTATCATTTTAAATATCTTTATATCTTAATTA